ATCTCTTTTCTCTAGGGATCTTCTTGCAAATTAAACTTGGATCACTAGGATGAACTGTCATTGCTATTAGGGGTTGTCTGATTTTCTTATCATATTTGAATTTTTCTTTTACTTGAAGGAATGGCTGAATATCTACCATAATTAATTTTACTTTTTCTAAAAGAAAAATATAAATCTCTATCATATTTGACTAATCTCTTTCTTGGATGAAAATATTTTGGATTTCTATGAAGTTTCTTTCCGCACATGAAATAATACCATCCACAATATAGTCTTTAAGAGAGTCTTGTCTAGGAGCAAAATTTATTCTCTCATCAATTTTTTTCTCTTTTATATTATAGTAAATTTATGTAGATCAATTGTCCAAAACTATATTATAGTATATTATGTTTTTTTAGTATAATTCTCCTTGTTCTTTGATTTATCATCGCTCAATGTTGGTATGTTAGCTTTCGCATGACGTCTTGTTATTTTCGATCCCAATAGTTGTTGCCTATATGAAAAAATTGCATTGCCGAAACTGTAAAATTAAGTGATACACTAGTGTTATGCTTACTAATCCAATTTTCCAATTTCTCCCCGCAAATTACAAAATATATGTACAAATGGAACTAAACTAGTGATGATAAGGAGAAGTTGCTTGAATTCTATTTTTTCTCTTCTGCAGAAACCTTTGTAGAGATCTCTTCATAGAAAGATCAGAAGCTGGAGATTGTAAAAATGGTGATGAAGGCTCTGAAATTGGTGATGATGATTCTGAAATTGGTGACCGGATTTTTGTTTTCTCCTCCATTTCTCTACTTGCCAGATATATTATTGCTTTAGCCTGCATTTGAATAAACGAATAGAAATAAATTACTAGGATTTATTAGATAGTGCTAGTAGATATGGTAAAAATAACACTTAATTTCTTTGGACATATAAAATAGTATCAGCTAGCGTATGGACATAGATTTAGTTGAAACTTGAAAAAAGTTTTTAAAGTTAGTGTTAAAAAATAATTTTTGAAAATTAAAGTTGTGCTTGGACACATGTTTTATTTGAAAAAAAAATTGAAGTTTGATTCTTTTTATGGTCTCAATTTCTTTGGATCAAATTAAAACATAGAATTTGATCCTTTAGTATTTAATGAATAATAAAAACATAGTGTAGCAGTATCTTTTTAACTCAACTTCCAGTTATATTGTTAAAATTCTTGACCACCTACCCCTTGCCCAATAGGAAAGAAGAAAAAAAAAATGGGCAGGACACCCTCTCTTTCCTTTCTTGGATTCGAATTTATGAGAATTTTCACGAAATTTCGTTATACCATCTTCCATGAAATAATACTTATAAAACGACGAAATTGTACAAATATTACAATTGCAATTCAGCCGACGCGGTAACAACACATGCAAAGTCATGATAGAGTGACCAAAGGGTGCACAGAAGGTCCATACAATTAAACTTCTTTCTACCCGGAAAAAAATAAAGAAGAAGAAATATACAAAAATAAAAAATAAAAAATAAAGTGCAGATACAGTACATACCTGAAGTTCAGTAGCATCAGAAACCACAAATTTTCCATTGTAAAATATTGTTAGCTGCTGTGGTTGTTTCTCTTCTGTGCTTTCTTTATCCTCCCTATCCCTATATATAGAAGAAAAAAATGAAAAAAAAAGCAAATATTCAGTACCTTATGCATATTGGAATTTACAAGGAGACAAGATTAGCAGTATTTCTATGCCTTTGCTTTATGTTGTATATACATATCCTTTATATCATTGCTATCCAAAAAGGGGAAAAACTTAAAACATTTAAAACCTCAAACATGTAGAATTAATGTGTGTGTGTGTGTGTGTGTGTGTGTGTGAGAGAGAGAGAGAGAGAGAGAGAGAGAGAGAGAAAGACTTACGTTGAGAAGTAAGGGGTAGTGCAATTCTTAGGAGAAAAAGAAAAAGAAGGAGGCATAAGCCTGAGCTCCAAGTTACAGTTTCTTCTCATCTTCGTTTAACTTCAGCCACAAACTCTACAGATCAAAAGCTAGCTGCCAATGAATAGAGTTTTTCTTTTATAGAGAGAGAGAGATAGAAGAGGGAGATAAGGAATCAAGAAATATAGAGTATTAGTGAATCAAGAAATTGAAGTTGGATCTAGTAAAAGTTGTAATATTGCAGTAAAGTATGAATGAAGAAGAAAGGAGAATTTGAATGGATATATACAAGTTGGTTTACTTGGATAGTGGAGTTGGGNAGACACTTCCTAAAAGAAGGTGTAAAGGGACATATGTCTAGAAAGATGGAGTTCCCCACAAATACAAATTAAACATCTGCGCTATGCTAACTAAAACACGTGATAAATGAAGATTTTCCTCGTTTTAATTTTATTATTATTTCCGTCATTTTCAGTCCCATACACCCGCCAGTTGTTGCCTACAATTTCTGCTATTTTGCGTCTTTATTTATTAAGTAATGCGAGTCATGTTCATGCACGTGTATCAGTCGGCTCACGAGCTTATTACTTATTTATATAGGGCTCCTTTGGTTTAAGACAAGTTGTATACTATGAATTATAATGATTAATATTGTAAGAGTTTTTTTTTTTTTGGTCAAAATATTGCAAGAGTTGTTATATGATGAATGATAATGTAAGAATTTTTATGTGAAATTTAATGTAAATTGGCCTTTTAGGTTTTAGTTATTATTATATATAGTATTTCATTCGTCCCAATTTTGGTGGCGGTATTTGATTTTGGAGAGTCAATTGAGTTTTTTTATCGTAATTTTTTTATATGACTTTTACATATTCTAAATTAATAATTATTGTGACTTACAATATTTTTTACATAATTTTTAAAATATGTAAATTTTATTTCAAAAAAATTAAAGATACTATTTTGGGTTCACTGTCAAAGTTAACTTGTTTGATTCTCGAAATCCGCACACCAACACATAAATTGAGACGGAAGGATTATAAAATATGCGGGTATATTGAGAATGCGGAGTTTAATAAAGTCAATCGAAATTATGTGGCGATTATTAATGTTTATTGTACGATCAACCAAACATAGTACTGCAATAATTCCTTATATTGTTATTTAATATAAGTTAAATCCATTAATTTGTAAATTTGAGTTTTATGAACTAACAAAATAAAAATATTTATATAAGGTAACTACAAATTAAATTTATGAAAAGTATACCTAATTGATACTTCTTCTGGTTCAACTTAATTAATTTTTTTGCCTTTTTTTATGGTCCATAATATTTGATATTTTTAGATATCAAGAAGAAAACGTTTTTCTTTCTTTCAAAGTTGCCCCTGTAGTATCTATCATATTTCTAATAAACAAGTTAAATACATAGTAAAAGTTAATATGATCAATTTTATTGTTAATTAATATTAAAAGAAAGATTCTTTAATATATATATATATATATATTAAAAAATCTTTCTNAAAGATTTGGAAATGCTTTTACCCCCTTTAAGGGTATTTCTGTTTTGGCACATTCTTCGGAGAGAGGTGCACGTTCATTTATTCTTATATGTATTTTCATTGTTATGCTAAAATTTGTGTAATAGAATAGTCTTACCAAATATTGTGGTGTGGGCGTGGAAATTAAAGAAATTAGGAGAAAGTCTACAAAAGCATATTGCAAGTTCATGCACAATTATATGCAAGTATGTATTACTCATAATAAGTGAAGTGACATTTTTGTTATTGTTGGGTTTTTATGTATTTAATATATTAAATACTTAAAAAAGCTTGAATGGGAAATGAAGGGAAATGAAATTTTTGAGTGAAATTTTAAATTTTCCCCCTTGGCAAAGAGACATTGTCCCATATTGGAAGAGGAAAAGGTTTTTTATGGGTATATAAGCAATTGCTCTTCTTCTAGCTCTTAAAGAGTTGAGAAGAAGGCAAGCCTCGCGCAGTCGTCTTCGTCGCTCGCTCGGCTCGGCTTCGGCTTCGGCTTTGGATTTGGATTCGAGTCTCGCATAGAATTCATAAATGAATAAAGTATCTCAATTGGAGAAAAGTGCGTTTTCCCGGTGAATTTGCTTGTCAACGAAATCCCACTCATAAGTAGGTTCACATCGTGATCTAAGTTCCATTTCCCATCGAGAGGTTATGATACTGGTAAAGATTCCTATTCTTCTCCTTGGGTTATGAAATGATTCAATAGCCCCGGGCTCCCTCACTGCATTCCAAGGCAAGCTCCTACTATTCCTGATATTCCTACTGGATTTGAGCAACTCGAGTATGAACGTTGTATCGCTATGCCCCTCGCTTAGCCCCGCTCTTTGGTTTAGGATGGATCTAGACTGGAAGCGAAAATACAGTAAAAATGGATTCTTTCTTTGTCTCCGCTGGACTCTTTTGTAATAGCTTGATGAGTTGAACCAACAAGAGATATTACGTTCTACCTTTTGTTTCGAGCATGTACGAGAGTGAGCTTCCCGATAGTCTCTTCCTTCCTAGAATTAGAACTCTAACTATCCTGTCCCGTCTCTTTACTCGAGATATCTGAGATAGCTCTGTAAACTAATAACTTATAATAGACGAGCCCATTATCCATATGTTCTGAACTTGCTTCTTGGTACAAGGGGAGGGGAGAAGAATTCTAGTTCTAATTCTTCTTCTGCCTAATCTTTAGTACCGCTTTGAGATTGAATCTTTAGAACCATGTGCCTAAGAGGGCGAGGACCTTTATAGTCATAATTTTTCCCTCGGTTCTACCTTTTTTTGCAATAGTGATCTATCCCGTCAATCCCACCAGTGAGCTATCCATTCTAACCTGTATTTGCCTAGCAAGATACGTCTAATTCTCCCTCCGCTTGCCTATCTCAATAGGAAATTGGAATAGTCTCTGATTTCAAAAAAAAAACTGAGGCGAGAGCTATACCTTCTGGAACCGGAGCAATAACTGCTATAAAGTAAGGAGATACGCAGGAGCGATCCCGAAAGCAAATACTCGAAATGCTCCATGACTAAGTATACCCATTTAGACTCGTTTTTGTTCAATTATAAAAAAAATAAGCACTTTGATGAAAATTTATAGCATCATTCAAGTAAATACATATTAAGATCGTAGAAACATGAGCTTGTGATATAGCTACACCTAATTCCAGACCGGTTAATGCAAGAATTATAAAGAAAGGACCAAGATCCCTATGAAATATAAATGATCATTCATACATAGCATAGTGCAAGCGAACCCACTTAAAATCTTTACTGAACTATGATCGGCCATCATATTAGAAAATAAACGTATTCCTGAGCGTAATGCTCGAAAACGATAAGGGATTAGCTCAAGGAGTACTAAAAAGGTGCTAATGGCAGTGAGACTTCTGCAGGTAATAAGAAGCTTAAAAAAATGAAGTTCATTTTTTTTGAAATCCCACTATAGTAATGCCAATAAAAATAGAAAACGAGAGACCCAAAGTAATGAGAAAATGACTTGTAATTGTGAAGCTATAAGGTATCATACCCTCGGGATTACAAAATAACGAAAAAGTAAAAGTGACCGAGATGCGACGGGAAAACTTTTGTTTAACATTTCCGGAAAGATAACCTATTTGTTCGTTTACCGGGTTCAGCACGAAATCATAAATAAGCTCCACCAAGGATTGCCAAGCATTTGGTACTGAGTTTCCTCCTCCCTTTTAGTAACAAAATAAACCAGAAGTAGGACCAAACAGAGAGTTAATAGCATAAACAAATATGGATTTGTGTATGAGAAATATAAGTTTCCTATTTACATAGGAATAAATGGGATTTTTTCAAATTGTTCAAGTGGGCTGGAGATGATCTGCGCTAGATCCAGTGTGAAAAAAGTGAATTTATCCAGTTGAGGCATACTTGATTGATTGAGACAAAATGATTCCCTTAATACAGCTTAACTCCGTCAATCTTGTACGAGTAGTGAAGAAGTATAGAGCACTTTGGTTGGTTGTTAACCAACGGAAAGCATGGGAGAAATATGCACAAATGAAAAAGGGCTAAAAAAGGATAAAGTAATTTCGTATATAAAGATATGGGTTTTCGGGTTTAGATTGAAATTACATCCCCCAAAACCTATACTCATTTGTGTTTCACTTGTGCGTTTACAACATCCATTGCTTCTGACTATGTCAATGAAATGGGACCGCGAAGATAACCCACCACTAGAGCTTGCTTTGCTCTCGCTCCGCTCGCTCCCACTTGTCTTCTTCCCACTATAGTGAAAGATTTTTCACTTCACCATAGCAGGAACCTCGCTAACCTTCTCGGCCAGTTACTCTAACCACAGAGATCCCTTCCTTCTTACTCACCCACCGTAAACGATTACTAATGGACTTGGAATACCAATGATATCAAAAAGGCTATCATTGGGGTAAACGATGCAATAGCTTCAGTTAGAGAAAAGCCGAAAATGGCATAACAAAATAATTGTTTTGCCAATGATTGATTTCGCGCCACGGAATGAATCGAGGAGCTAAGGTCGTTTCCAATACCGATAGCAGCTCCTGCTGAAGCAATTGTAGTAGCTCATGCACCCATTGATTTTGCACCTTCTAACATCTCGAGTTTAGAATTCTCCTCACGCTTTTTCCATCGCGATTTTCTCTTCGAGAACACTCGCCTCGTCGATTCTTCCCCTCGTTCTTTTTATCTTGGACATTGAGATGTTCATGCAAAGCATAGGCTAGCAAGCGGTACACTGAACACCAACCCAATCGTGAGAAAGAAATTATTGCAACTACGAAAACTACAACAACCTCCGTGAAAATACGCTTTGTCAGTTCATTTTTTATATAACTTCAATTCAATAATTAAGAAAAAAGGTTAAAAAGGCTGAAGAAGCACCATTGGTGATTANTAAGCACTATTGGTGATTAAATCTAAGTATATCCCTTGGAGGCATTCAATGAAAAAATAATATTCATCCATCAGGGAAAAAAGGGACAATAAAATAACTTCGTACAAAAAATACAAATCCCACCCTTGAAATTCGGGAAATGCTTGGACTATAGCTATTATTTGTTCACATATACTATCAAAAATATTGTCGAATGGATCCGTAGTCTGCTCAAAACTCGGTAGCACGGGGAAATCCGCTTGGGTGAAAAAGGCGGGTAAATCTAGTTCAATCGGTAAATCCATCTCAGGAGTAAGCTGCTCCGTTGTAGCCACTTCTGTACCTGTACCGGCTTGAGCAGCCGAAATATTGATACTGGGAGATTGGGGATCGGCTGAAACACTCGAAGATGCACATTTGGGGATTCGACGATAAAGATCGGACAACGATCTCACTTTCCTCCTCATATTCGGTTTGACTTATGTTCATTCGCTCTGCGAGCGGAGCAGTATNATACCTGTACCGGCTTGAGCAGCTGAAATATTGATACTGGGAGATTGGGGATCGGCTGAAACACTCGAAGATGCATGTTTGGGGATTTGACGATAAAGATCGGACAACGATCTCACTTTCCTCCTCATATCCCGTTTGACTTATGTTCATTCGCTCTGCGACCGGAGCAGTATACCGAAAAAAAGAAGCGACTACCTTACTTAAGCAATTCTGCTTATTCTTATTCTTTCTTAGTTGAAGTTCCCCTTCTCCGGATTTACCCAGTGAGCACAACTCTTGCTCGGGTAGGTGGTGCCGGTTTCCGACAACTTGCTATATTCCACCATGCAGCGGCCATCACCTACCCTAATGCTCCTACTCCGGACCTTACTACTGGCTTTGAGATTTCTTTCTTGCTATGCGCCAGGTAGCGAAATGCTTTACCGAATGCGCCAACCAACCTCTCGTGTCGGGCCTACGTGTGCCAACTCCAACTAGGAAACTACTACTGCTTGGGCCTAAGCTCCTGAACCGGTAGGAAGAAGAAGCGCACCCGAACCCCCTTCTTATTACCCTTTCAGAAGGTGAGGCAGAAGGATTGAGATTCTCGTAAGTAATGTTCAAAAGTTGTAGCTTAAAGTCCTTTATAGATTTCTAGTCGGTAATAGAGCTGTGGCTTAGATCCCCTGATCGAGTAATGGGCTTTGTTTTTTTCTCGTTCACGTTGATAGCCCCGATTCAGTTCAAGCTACTACGAAAGAATTTGTCGAAGTGGTGGAACGAGCTTTCCTATTAAAAGCTGCTAGGTGAATCCCTAAAGTAGATTAGTTCGATCAGCAAGACCCGTCTCCGCAGCATTGGAATCAATATTTTGCTTGGCATAGTTGNTAATGGCATAGTTGCAGTATGACTTTCCTGGTCTATTTAACTAACTGAAGCTAGCTGAGATCGAGAGCTTTCTTATCATGCAACTCCTGGATTGAAAATAAGTTGGTGGGCCAAGGCTTAAACTGCCAGATAGAGACGAGCTTGCTGGACTCTTACGTAATTGAGTATAGAAAGAGGAATCGTCTTATGCGTGGATTGAAGTGCGTGATAGAGATAGATGCTTCCGTAAGTTTACTTTTTTCAGGAAAGCTAAATTCTTTTAGTCTTCCAGGGGGATCGAATCTTAACTAACTGACGTATTGTAATATCAACCAGCCGAGAATAAAATCAAAAGAAGATTGATTGAAAAAGCTAAAGTACTATTGATGGACTTCATGCAGNCGGGGATCAAATTTAACTAACTAACGTATTGTAATATCAACCAGCCGAGAAAAAAATCAAAAGAAGATTGATTGAAAAAGCTAAAGTACTGTTGATGGACTTCATGCAGCTGGCTTTCACTCAATTTTTTTTCAGTTATAAGATTTTCTACTCCTTTATCCTCTGATTCTCAACTCAATGCATCATACACTGACGAGTCTAAGACATGTTAGAAGAGCTAATATAACTTGGCTTACTTCTTACTAAATGTCGTACTTAGCTGAGAGTTCTCCCCGTCCCGAGAGAACCCGGGATGCTAGCGATTAGTCAGTCTAGGTCTAGCTAGTCTTGCACTTCACTTTAAGACTGGTACTTCAAATAAAGGGTTAGTAAGCACAGATTCCCTAGAAAGAAAGATTTCCTCTCATACCCAGAATTCGAATGCTTAGCTAAGATTGAATTTTTCACCTTCTCATTCATTACATTAGGTTAGGAGATCTAACCAAGCATGCGAAATGCGACATTGACTCAAGAAAGTTAATAAAAGAAAAAGCCAAACCTTAGAGTTCGTTGCCGGTACAGTGCCTATTCCTTATGACTTCTAGGCCTCTTCTAGGTTTTCCGCCTCTAAGAAAACTGAACCCATGGAACTCCCTTTGCTTGTCTCGGGATCAACTCAATCAATGACAACAGCGAAATGCTTCTGGCATGCCAAAGCAAGGTAAACGATCGATTCTCTTTCCCAAAGTCAAAAGCTACTATACTGAGCCAAAGCTTCATGCCCTTCTTGAATTGCAATCATTGAGTTCAGATTCAGAGATGTCTGAATGGCTTTACTTAATAAATAGAAGAATTCCCTCTTAGGGTTGGTTATAGGGGGAACTTCTGCCAATTCCATGACTTGACTGACTTCAGACTAGAATGAACCATCCAATAAATCTTTCGCCCTAAGTAAGGTCTAACTTGATTTCTCCCAAGATTCTCTTATATAACCAACCAAGCCAAGGGAAGGGGTAGCCCAGCTATTCGATTCGAGCTATAGAGAAAGGCCTAATTAGACCAAGTATTAGATAGGCAACTGAGTTTCAGTTTAAAAAAGGGAAAAAGTCTCTCTAGAACGAGGTTCAGTTCAAATCGGGTGGAAAAAAGTAGTTTAGTGGGACCAAGGACCCTCAAGAGTATAGAGATTTATTGGGACCAAGGACCCTTTTAGCAAAGCAGGAATATAGTTAACAAAGAGGTATCTAAGTTGCTCCTTTCTTCAGGCTTGGCGAGGGGGAGGGGGCAGCCAGAAAGGATAGTTCCTGAGGTTCTAGAAAATAATAAACAGGAGCGTGGGTATATACAAACCTGACGGATGGGATAAGAATCATTTTTTGGGCGATCAACCAACCCAACCCCAACACTGACACGGCTTGGAGCGAGTTTGCATATTAAGTAAATAGAAAGAGAGAAACCTACTTCGCTCGGTTGCTTATGATAGACCAAAGAGAGGCACTAATAGAGTATAGCAAGCTGCTCGTAAGATAGCAATAACTTGATTGCAAGCTTACCAACCAATAGCTACAATACCACATTCCACCAGTCATATTAATTTGATTAGCTTAATGTTCGCAACAAATTTCGTGTACGGAATTAATAACTGCAATCACGAAAGAAATGTAAAGAAAAATTCTTTTTTTAATAAAACTTGTGAGTACAACTCTGTGTATCCCCTGTTTCTTGTATCTAATTTATTTTCCTTGATTTGAGGGCTAAAGCAGCGTATTTCTTGAGTGCAGGATGATGTGGACCTCCTTGTGATTTACTTGATCATCAAGAAGAGTTAGTAGCGCTTCGGATTGATCACGAGGGACAACTTCTCTTGATCACTCCTTCTTGTTTTCTTTAATTCGAGGGACAATGTAGTGTATTTCTCGAACGAAACGAGTTCCTTGTGATGTGTTGAATCTTCAATGAACTTCCATCAGCACTTCAGATTGATCTTGAGGAAGAACGTCTCGTGGATCTCTCCTTGCTTGTTAGAGAACCTTGGAAAAGACTATTACGTTGATCCCTTCTTGTGATCGATTTTAGCACTAGCATGGTTCGCTTCGGCCGTGTCATTAGCGTCAATGATGATCTTTCCATCTCTCACCAACGTCATGATCTTCTCCTTTATGATGAAGCATCTTGCTGTAGGGTGACTGACGATGCGATGATATTTGCAATACTTGGGATCATCCACCTTTTTAGATCTTTCATCACGTCGCTGAGATTCAATGATTCGATCATAGGCCATTTCTCTACAACCTAGAGATCCTATAAGATTTTGGGGCTCTGTAGAGATGGGAGCGGATTAAGTGAAATAGGAGGCTCAAGTGGTTCATCCCCTTATTCAACGGATATTCTAAGAGGAAAGTACGTTACTCATCGATGAGGGATCTATGGTAGCTCGTCTATCTCTTAGCATCAATGGCAAGCCTACTTTTATAGTTTGAGACTTCCTTTGCCTTTGAAAGGTTGGAATCGAGGAATCATGGACTAGAGCCCTTATTCTAGGTCGATGCCACCAATACATTCTACCTTTGAAATCTGGCTTCACTTGGGTTGCTTCTCGATCGAGATCCCTTCGATGGATGTCACCGTGCTGGTCTCTTCTCAACTGGATTTGGCTTCTATTTAAGACTCTTTTAATATTGAATCTAAGTACTAGCATCGGTCCCGTCAAAGACCCCTTTTTCATTTGAGCAAAGGGCGCCTAACCTGAAAGAGGAAATAGGGGTTTTCCTCGATGCGAAAGAGCTAGATTAGTAGTTTATCTGGGACAAATTCCTACTTACTTTTCTTAGTAATGGTAATGAAGGTATACCAAGGGAAGCTCAGGACAACCTATGTCTCAGTAACTGCCCAAGAAAGGACCACTCAATCCAGATAGGTTCTTGCAACTGCCTTTCAAACAGGACCTCGAGAGGCAAGCCCTAGAAGTACCGCTAGGTAGGGAGCGAGCTCCTACTTCATTGGATGTCTGATGAAAATGGGGGCTTCCAACTGAGATTCATGAAGAGAAGAGAGGACCCGACATCAAAATCTGTGTCGAGCCTATGAAAGAGTATGCCCGAGTGGAACTGAGAAGATCAAATGACTCGACAGAGCAGGAAGTGATCAAGTGCAGTTGACTACAGAACCTTCCCTTTACCATTATTGCTAAGGCAAACGGCCAAAGCTTTCCTGTTAATTTCGCAGGCTGCCGATTTTTCATGCTTTGGTCTCATTATCTCACCTAGAGACACCGCCCACCATGGAGAGCTAGGCTTGGGTACAAGCCAACATATTAGAATATCATACTGATGTGGCATTCCCGACTTGAAAAGGGTTGGTAGACTTCAAGCTGGGTCAGCTAGACCTAAGTAAGTAGGCATCGAATGAGGATTGCAGTAAGGAGTTTTGCAATTTGACTACTTTTTAGTTGAAGAACCTGGTGATCTAATTCCTACTCCTTCGGAGTCTTCTGTGGAGCTTTCTTCTCTGATGCAATTCCAAGTGGAAGAACTTCTGACTTCCCCCAAAGAGCTTAATAGCTCTGAGTGAAGCTCCTGAGTTTCCATTAGCCCCTTTTCTAATTGAAGGAAGAAAGCTATTGAGATAATCATTCAATAAAGAAAATAAGTAAAGAAAAAGAAAGGTGAACAAGAAGGGAATAAGCTCTCAAGCCTCTGAGTAGAGCAATCTCTTGTGGAAAAAAGGC